TCAGTGATGCTTTTCGTTTTACTTGACATATCTTCATGTCTACTACGCGAATCCCAGCAACTCTCGCATTCCGTTCGCTCCATCACCGAAGGTCTTTTCACGTGTGGGTTCGGGTGCTGTTTGTTAATTGTCTACCTTACGATTCCTGTTAACCTTTGGTCGAGTCGATTCTCTCTCGAGTCTTGCCATAACTTAGGTGGAGCGTTCGAGCGTGGACTTGAGAAAATGAGTTGGACCCGGATAATTCTGCTAACAATTTCAGAAGACCGAAGGGGTCAGAGGTTAGGTGAGCCCGGAGCGAGGTCGAACCGGCACGGTGGTTGTTATATACAGAACCACTACCACTACCGGCCCTCCATAAAACACGTTTCATATTTTTCAGTGTGATGCTAAAAAAAAGTAATGGCTGGTTTTATCTTTGGGTGGGACGGCTAATGATTTTTTTTTATTCGTTTCTAACCCTGTGCACAAAGGGTCTTCTAACAAACCTCAAAGGAATAATTTCTGTGAAGCTATCTAACATTGAGAGCTTTTCATCACATGCTCCATACACCCAATATTATCCGTTATTTTTGTTATTCCTTGTGTACTTTAGCAAGTACAACGCAATTTTCCAAAAAAAAGCTTTCATAGTGATGCGAACCTGTATCACGCTTCTCAGAGGATTAATGTGTTCTTCGCAGTGCCCACTCTCTTTGCTCTTCCGTGAAAGAATGTTTAAGTGGACGAAACTGTGGTAAAGGAAGTGCTATAAAATGAGGTAGTAAATGGCTTTCTCAACACTAAGAAATTTTACAGAATACCCGAAAAAGAAAGCGAAACAAGAACAGATCTCAGAAAGTGAAGAGCTATTTCTCCTCTTTTCTCAGTATTCCGCAAGATCCCAAACTGCATTGTAATGCTAAACCTTCACTCCATAATAATTTCATAAAACGCACGCTCACTAACGAAAGCTGATGATATCTGAGAGTTTAAAGCAATGGAAGTGTTGTTTTTTCTGTTTAAATAAATGCTTTGTTATTCATTTTTGTTCGGCTACAGTGTCATCGCAAAGACCTCTGACTCAACGAATCAACATCCTGATCATGTGCACTTTGCAATCAACGCTAATTTCAAATGCGTTCACTCCCCACCGAAACACATTTAGCCAGTTTGAAAAGAGCTGAGTTGTCTCGATGTACTAGCTTTTACGACTTCAGAAATGAGTCGTTTTCACTACCCCGTTATTATTATTAGTACTATTATTACTATTACTACTGTTATTATTAATGACATTGTTCTACGTACCATGTGTAACGTGCTGATTAGAGGTTATTCGTAAGATACACGTGGCGGCACCCGAGTGCTCCATACGTCTGAGGTCGGCAAATTGGTACCAAAACCTTCATGGGTGGGTGTAAACACTAACTTAATTTAACGGTATGTTCCCGGAAGTCATTGTACAGCACATTTACTTATTCGGTCACTTTTGATGCTTAATGAACTTGCATGTATGTTATATCCTCGAGGATTGATCAGCCCCAAACTACTTATCCTTTATCCTTTATTACAGAGTGATTCGAGCAGGATCACGAATCTCATAGTGAACAACTATGGCTCACGTTTCTCCATCACGCTCGTGACTAACTTGAGTTTTTTCAAATTTTCGTGTTAATGTCTAAATCTTCATGCGTATTTCGCTATTTACGTTCTTTGCAGTCTTCTTATGGACTGAATGCAAAAAGGCAGAAATTCAATCACTAGCGTTGTATTGAAGAAAACTTTATACCTCGTAGAATTTAGGAATATGCCGTGTTTGAAGCAAATCTTTGAGCTTGAGAGCCTGTAGAAGACCACTGCGTTGATGACCCCGATGCACTAATGAAGTGGACAAACGAATTGTTTTAGGCAGTCAGTTGTTGACAGTATTTATTAACTGGTGTGATGTTGAAGGGGTGGATAGCATAGTGGTGATGACACCCATCATCAAGAGCACTGTGCTGGCTCGATTTCGCGGCAGACTCACAAGGATTTTCATGATTTTTAGGTCGAAAAATTGGTACTTGAGCTCTCTGGAAAAAGCTTGCTTTCTGCAATCCAATTGAAAACGCTCCACCTCGGCTATTCCAGGACCCTATGAAGGATCAACTTGACCGGCTTTCTACGATATTCATGGTGAACATCTTCAAGCAGTAGCCGAATCCACATGTAGAAGTTAGAAGATCTTTGTGGATGATGGATGCGAGGAAAGTGAATGGAATTTGAGAAGCGCTGAGATCACTACAGTAGACGTGAAGAAGAGTCGTACAAAATAAAATTAAGTAAAAAAAAAATCACTGTCCGATCCGAGTTCCAGAATTAGGAAGCTAAACTATTCAACACAGGCAGTCATTTTGGAAGAGAATCCATGTATATCTAAGAAAAATCTGAAGTTTTTCCACAACGTGATAGGGCTGAGATGTTATCAGAGTTATTTGATGCTTGAAATTACACCATAGGGCTTTTTTTTGATTATAAATATAACTGGAAAGACAAAGAATAGTCAAGAGTTTAAGAATTCGATTAAGCCGATAGCGGTCTACAACTGCAGTTTGCGTTTCCTGAATTGATAAATCTCATTTCCAACTGTGTGTTGGTGGAAAAATTCTAAAAAATTAGCGTGGTCATTGAAGAAACTAGGCTTAAAAGTTCGAGTTGCTTAGATTGAGTTCTGTCAAAAGCTAGGGGAACACCGCTCAAACGTCTACCTCTGAAGGATTCCAATAATTCACTCTTCTTCTGGTCTTCTACAAAGGAATTCTAGAAAATATTGCCATCTCTGCTGGAAAACCATGCTATTTTTGTGTTCGTCTTTTTTTCAATTAGCCATTAATACTTGTTTTAAGCGTTGCGAATGATGGCGATTTTGGTGCTGATTACGTAAGGTTAAAACATTAAACTGATTAAATAATCTAAGAGTAGGGCTTTTCGAAATATGAAGCGTCTTTTTGGAACTTTATAATGATTTTAAAGCCTTTAACAAGTCAACTTTGACTAAACAATTTTTATGCTTATGTGGCACATGAGCCAAGTGCCTGTGTGGCTCAGTCGCAAGCGGTGCCGTGAAATGCACGCTTGTTCTTCGGTTCGATCCCGCTCTCCAGGCGCAGTACCTATTTATTGCGACTTGGTTGGCAGATTGATAGCACACTTGGTAGGATCCCAGCACTGAGTCGATACATCGGTAGGTGGCCACAAGTAATTGTATAGGTCAGGTAAGCATTCAATTAGCTTTGATGATGCTTTATGAAGTCGAGCGAATCCGTCAAAGATTGTTGAACTCCGAAAGCTTGACGTTTACCTCTTACGTCAAACGTGCAAAGTGAAAGACACTCCTTCTACACCGACGATGATGCTGATGTGGGTCGATCTCGAGCAGCAGAAGATTCATCTTTAGTCGGTACTCAAGAAATGAAACATGTTAATATATTCAGCCGAAGGCCTAAATACGAAGAAACCAATTAAAGAAACTGCGAACTTCCTGGAGAAACCTAGTTGTGAGTTGACAACCACTTCTCCAATCCAAGACGATCAAGTGGCTTTCGTGACGAGCAAGGAGCATCGTATTGCAGTTGTCTCGACAGTCCAGAGCAAAATTTTACTCAGCCGCCAACATATTACTACCTAAATAAAAGATTTTAGTTAAGCTTGCTCTGTTTTCCAAAAAATGGGCCCACTCAAGTATCGTACACCAATACGCTTTATTGATTTTCGGCCTTTTATAAACGAAGCCACCACATATCACGCGACTGATGCTGCACAGAGTAATCACCTAGGGACTTCGAATAGCGGTTTTACTCTAGACGTGAGGTGAAAACTGAATTTATATTGTCTAGTAATTGAGCTTCAGTTTACTCCACTCCATGTAAACTTCATTGTACAGAGTAGATTACTCATTGGTACCATTTTGTTAGTCAGTGATGTTGATATACATTGTGTAATGTCATTTCACTTAGTGCTACTGTTTGCTAATAACTTTGCACGACAAGGTTCTGAAAAATTCCTCTTCCTGCTAATGAGAGCAAAGTTTGCAACTGCGATTGTTCCTAAGCACTTTTCTTCATTTCTTAATTAATTCATCCATTCTCTCTCTCACTTTCTGCTTTCTCCTCATATGAAGGACCTAATAGAACAACTTTATGCAAGACTAAGAAGTCATTCATAATTTGAGCCTACGTACTACCGATGTTATCAGCATTAAATAAGTCTGTGTAATAAAGATGATCTCTAGTAGTCTTATTGGAAACCTCTTTGTAGCTGTTTGTCAGCAATATCTCTCTATAGACGCGGAGGTTTCTTCGTTGGAAAATGTTCTGATCAGACAAAGAGGTCGAGGTTTTTCTTGGCTTTTCAAATGATCGGACGCTTCGCCTTCAGTACCATAGAAAGGCAAACGTTAAGGCTACAGTGCAAGTGTCAGGCACTATTGCTGATAACGGTTCTTATCATGTCGAATTCCCACATTCTAACGTCCACTGCCTAACCAAATTTTCTTAGCGTCTCAATATGTACTGACAGAAGTTAGACTGCTATTCTATCTTCACGTTCCATTCTCTTCCGAGCAATATGCTTCTGTAAAGTGATACAGGCTTTAGAAATGAGTATGAAAAATTCAATTAAACAAATTGCTTGAAATATATTTTATAAGCTTTTCCTTTTCTATGACAAGCTTCCTTGTATTCTTGTCATGGTTTAACGTGCCATTGGTTTTGAATGTTTCAAATAGACCTACCTGTTAAATTTCTCTTAATCAGTACGAAACAAGCTTTAGTTAAATGTAAATGGATAGATTAGCCCTAGAAAATAGGTTCATAATTAAGTGAAAGACCAATTGGACTAATAGTGGATATGGAATAACAGCTACCTCAAATTCATCTCTTCTAGATTCTTTCAAACAATCGGCACTCCTTCAATTTCTCGTAAAAAATCAGCAAATATAACTTACAAACGGTCTATTAGTTTATCGAAAGCCAACTTTAGTGATGGTATTCGACAAGGCGATCAGACACTTGGGTTCAACAATTGGCATGCGGCCATTAACATTCTTCATCGCCAGTGCAGTTCTCTTCTTCATATCGATCTCATATTTGCTTCTTCTGCCGTGAGTACAGATTTTTAAATTCTTATGATATTTGCTTCCTATACAAACATATAGTGGTCCTCTAGCACATTGACTAGAGGTATCCTACAATATCCACCCTGTTACGATCTCGCGCCAGAAACTAACCTTGTTCGCCTTCCCTACACGTTCAACAAGTTGGCATCAAACTTGTCTAAAAAATCAACACAGTGACCTGATCGTAGGCCTTAAGTGTCATTCAGCAGGTCAAAAACGCATTAAATTACCTTTGCAATGCCTAATATTGTTTTAATTTTGGCACACTAGAGAGCGGGAAGTAGTTGTAGTAGTGATGTGGATCATCACAAGGGCGGTATCGGTCCGTACCCGCACAGAGCTCGCTCGGGGTTTGGAAAATTGGTGCTAAATTTCTTTGTGAAAAGTCAACTTTTTGCAATCTAAGTGGCAGCGCTCTGTCCCAGCTACGTTAGAGCTCCAGGGATTATGAACTGGACCGGCAACAATATTCGTGAAGAAGACGGCAATCCTCAAGCAGCAGTGGAACCCACACCCGGAGGGTGCAAGAAGACGATTTGAACGTGAGAAATTCGGAGCTCCGCGCAATAAATATGGAAGGCAGGTCGTGCAAAAAAACAGTGTTAAGTGGAGTCTATTGACCTCACACCTCTCTAAAGGATTGATCAAAAGTCAATACTCTTACGTTTGTCCTCTACTCACTTAATTGGATACCTTGATAGCCTGTCTTCACGACCACTGCGGCCTCCAGCACATCTTCCATTCGTCTTTTTCTCACGCATTCGTCCTCCGTTGGGGTTGTCTATCCTGAAATAATGCATGGGTGAATAATGCATGCACCCATCGCTCTCACGTTATTGTTGTTATTGCCTCCTGTATTAAAAGGTTAACCTAATCTCTATCCCTACCGGTGTCCGCATTCCTCTTCCTATAAAGTTAATTAGTTAGTTGATGTCAATTTACTTGCAATAAAAACAAACCGAGCTTTCTCTTCAGACTCACACCATTCATGATATCGACGAGTTCACACAGATTGTCACGACAGATTTACGGACTTCATTGCTGAATGGCCATATATTTTAGTATTTTATTTTAGAAAAATTTTTTTTAAGACCTAAAATTCACTTGGGTTTCGACAGCGGTTACACCACCACAGATGCACCATCGATTCGTGAGCTTCAAACCCAAATCGAGTATTTTGGAAATAAGGTAAACTCGCAAAGGGTACATTTATTTCTTTTGTTGAATTTTTATACACATTTTTTAGTTGTTAGCTAGTACTGGGAGCACGCTGAGAGAATCTATATTTGATATCTATAATTTCTAATCGTTTGTTGTAACTATGAAAGCACACGAAGCTTTGGATGAACAGCAACCTATATGGGTCCAAGTGTATTTGAAATTTTTTAGTGTTACATTTATGGGATTTGGACTCCTTCAATGAGTACATCTGACTTGAAATACTTTTCTACTTCGAAGGTGTAGCTTTCTTTTTAACCACATTAGCGATGAACATGGTTTTTCGACAAAAGAAAAGATGGTAATTTCTCAATTACCATAGGGCTAGAGCAGTCTGGCTAAGTAGACTTATAGAAGAAACCTAGTCTATCGCTTTGAAAGCACAATTGTTTGTTCTAATTTAAGGAAAAAAAGTAAATACGGTATTTGGACTTTTAATTCAGTCTAATTAAAATTCCTAACGCAAACGCTTTTAGCGCAAAAACTACAGCAAACTGAGGAAACGATCCCATCGTGCTGGAAGAAACTGCGCCTATTCATCCGTTTTAGTATTTGAAATACGACCGCCAATAAAAGAAAAGCGAAAAAATACTTTTGTTAGCTGGAAAAAATCAGAATTTTATTTTTGCAGAATAGAAGAACATATATTTTAAAGTGGAGATCCATACATTCTAGCAGTCCTTACTTTAATCGACCCTTATTTCCGCATAATAACATTGAATTCAATGGGCACATTCATACTCCGCTCATCCTTTTATAGACAGGCATTTTCGCTTACTATCGTTGTTTTTTAAGCTTGACGATAACCTTATTAAGGGAAAACCATGGTATATGGCATTATTCGCCGAGCCACGTGAGCAAACAAAAGGCTCAATGACGGACTTCAAAGAATTCAACGAGTTTGAAAGATTCTACAAGGTAAAGTTGTGCGGTGCAAAAAAGAGCGTAATAGTTAAAAAAAGTTATTCGAAACGATGGAGTAGAGTCATAAAGAGAATGTTCCTACCATGAGATGGTGAAATCTAAAAGTAATGGAACGATTACCATTTTACAACTGTTTTGCAGTTGCAGGGCGTCGCTCCTTGTACTAACCAGTTAATAAAAAAACAAATAGCAAAGGATTTTTTAGGCGATCAAGACAAACATCATTATTCGGAAGGATAAGAACCATAATATCACTTATATGGATTACTGTGATACGACATGTAATATTAATGAACAGATCTTCAAAACACACGTGAGATTTACCATTTTCAATTTTCCATCCGTGCTTCAGCAACCTTCCCAACGGTTGACCGCCTCATCGTGGCTGACAGGTGTTCCTGAGTGTTGGGCTGCGATGTATAGCGAAAGGATTAATCCCCCGGCAAGGTCTCCCAAGCTGAGAAGGAGTCCGGCGAAGAGTAAACCAATACCGGGATCCGCCACGTCTAATCCACAAGAACTACGAATGCCTGTGGTGGAGAAAACCTGGGAAAGATTTTAACCAGGCTGACCTCGGGAATCCAGGCAACCACGATGGCTAAACCAGCAAAACTCCGAAAAATGGAAAATATGCTAGGCCGGCACAACCAGTGGGGAGAGGCAATCCAAGTACCCAAGTAAGCTTCAGCAACTGCTAAGAAATTCCATATTACAAGAATGGAATATTTTATAAGTTTTATGGACTAATATAATGTAATTTAGTCACTAGCCTGGTTTGGACTTCAGTGGCCACAGACATCGATATTTATGTACAAATCTAATATAGGAAAATTTTTTTTCCTCAGAGAAATGAAGGTATGTCCAGCTTTTAGTGTAAATTGTTTACGAAGACGTAGTTAAGTTTAATATTTACTGCAAGTTAGGTTAATTTCAAGTGTTCAGTTTAGAATTCGTAGAAAATCAGTGAGATTAGAAGCCTACAATTTGTAGAAAATGATTAATAAAAGGAAACTTTAAATTCATCGATCGATATTTGTAGAACTGCACCCATTAGTCATATTGAGAAAATGGAATTATTAATGATAAAGCCAAATGTTTGTTGGTTCGACTCCTCGCTCCGGGTTAAGCAACCCCACCGTTCTTCCGCGGTCAAAGGAATATTTAGCACATTTGTTTTGTAGAAAGCAATCGTTGACTTGATGCATCAGTGTGCCAACGCTAGTCATTATGAAGCTTAAATTTTCATTCAATTCTCATCTATGGTTTTCACTGGAATCGAATTTTTGGAAGATTCCTCAACGATTGATCAACAGTTTTCACACGGCCGACTTTCTATTAAGCTTGGCATTGATCAAATAATGCTCTATATTCAAGTGATTTTGTTCGTATTTTTGAGCAAACGCGAGGTGTTATTGTTCTTTGTTCACGATTAAGCTGACGTTTCGGCGAATTTCTTTGATATGAAGCGTAGCTTGAAAAGGATTCTACTTAGTGTGAAGCGTTATTTTGGTGAACGGTTTCACCTTTTCGTTTTACCCGAGTGGATTTTGCTTCTTAACCATTTAAAATGGCTATTTTTCGTGCCAAGTTTAGCGATTGTTTTCGACAAGTAGATCTAAATAAATATATCACCAGTTTATCTCGAGCGTTGAAGAAAGTCGACCTTTTTAATTCTCTGTATTTTTGTTCGGCAAGCACCAGGTATTACTCTATTCTTTACTACGGTGAACTGAAATTTCGACAGATTTCACTTTCTTCAGAGCCTGAAGAGGTCAAGATGACTGCAAACTACTCAAACAAACACTTCCATAACCAAATAGAGAACATACTGAATCAAGATTTAAACCGCACTGAAAGCGTGATAAAACGTCGAAACTATGAGAATTTGTAGTTTCCTTGCAATCAAGCATTTAGAGCATTAGTAAGCACATGTTTTCAGGGTGACGAAGTCATTCGTTCAAGGCTTTCAGCACTCTATTTTATGGCGTTCATTAATAGCAGTCAAGCTGCTAACGATATGAAGAACTTTGAGGAAAAAGTATCAGAGTAAGTGGCTTTTATAAGGCCAGGTTTCGAAAGATCATACGGAAACCACTTTATCACTAATTAGCAATGAATTTTTCAGATGGGTAGCCGATCACAACGCTAACGGCACTAAACTGACAACCATCACTCAACATAGCGCTCGTGGTATGCAGCTGGAGATCACCAGAGGAGTGAAATTTGTCGTTGCAAAACTGCTGGGCGGTCGGCTTTCTTTCTTTTACTAAAGAAATCCTAGAAAAGTCGTCTTTTAATCGAAGCTTGCAGGAATCGTGCTTACCACTCTTTTCACCCTGGCCTCATTTACTGCATTGAATAAAATTCGAGGTCGAAGCAATAGGAGGTGACTAGAATATTACTTTTTATTATTTTTTTCCTCTGGGCATAAAAACTATGTAAAACCAACGGTACTTGACATCATTCATTTATATTACTATTGTATATGACACGCCATCACCGACTATGCTGAACTCGATACTTCATTCATTCCGTTGGCTGTCTCGCATCCATCTTCCACGAAGCTTTAGATTTGCGTTTAACTTGGCCCGCCACTCGAGGAACATATATATTCTCCGTGAGTGCTTCTGAATCCTGGACGAGTTCATTCTTCCGAGAATCCTGAGATAGCTGTGTTACGGCAGTACTAGACCTTCAACGCAGGCAATCGCTGGCTTTTTTGGATGGAATGGAGTTTTCTGCAAACAGTTTTCGTAGAAAGTTTTCTATTCTGGAGGAATAGAGGGAACTGTTGGTCGGACTCGGAATAGAAACCGTGGAGTAAAGCGTACTGGTATTTCACGACATCTCCAACTAGTGCTGTTTCTTTACAAAACATCACTGAATTTATGATAATTCCTTGTGATAATCGTTTGTGACGTTGTCGCATCGTATAATTTTAAAGATGCTGGTTAGTTTTAGGAAATATTTTTCTACTTTGGTCTTATTTATGCCTTCTACCTGATGCTTTTACTAGTGTTAACGATTCATTTCCTGCTTAATATAATTTTTCACGACAGGGTGCGATGTGAATGACAACCAAAACAGCGCTGAGATATTCGCAAAACTTGAACCCCGGTCCAGATCGAACCACGATTCTCTTTTCGGCGGCTCGCGCATTACACACTGAGCCACGGAGAGATTCTACTGCCATTGCGTAATATTTTCCAAAAAACCACACATTGCGTGCTGATTCCAGCACTTCCTGTATTTACTGTGTTGGCTTGAAATCATCGTCAACGTGGGTGTTTGAACCTGTCTGCGGGATCGACAATTTTAGTTTTTTTGGAAATTCATCGTTTTCTCTCTACTAACTTGTTGAATGCTAATCGATTGTGATCTTTTTTGGAATTCTGTGACAACGGTAGTAGTGCGTTCTCATGTCGCCACTAGAGATGTTCACCGCCACGTGTGAATCAGAGGAAGTTTTGTGGCCCCATGTTTGGAATTGTTCCACAATGACAACGATTAGTTTTGTAACAATGATTTTTGTGTCGTTTTCTTGTTCAGCAATCGCGAGGTTTTTAAACAGCATACATTTACTTCCATAAAAAACACAGTACAATACAACGCTAGCTGACGTTTCGGCAGTATCGCCTTCTTCAGAGCCTGGAAGGGTATGCTGATATACAATCTACTAGGCCAAACGCTTCAATAACACCGTGTCCGTGTAAATCCCTGTAAAAGAACACCTAGATGTCAAACGAAACCCGCAGCCTTTGCCACGCTGACCCATTGATTGTTTAGCTTTCAGTATTGACTTTTATATGAAACACATGAGAAACATTTTTCGAACAGCCACCTCTGTGTGCACTGCCTCGCGCGACTTGGCTCAGCAAATAGCCATCTCCAATGGCTACGAAATAGTAACCCCACGAGATAAGTTTACAAGGAGAACAACGCGCCCACGCGAAACACTTGGCCAAAAGAAAGTCCCGTTCATGTTGCCTTTTATAAGCGATGAAGTAAGCGCAGCTATAAAACGATGCTTAAGAAGGGCAAGCCTATAGAGGAAACGGTAGCGATAGTTGAAATACCACCGGCTACTCTACGTCGCCAATTAGTTCGCAACCGCCTGTATGACCGTCTGTGTGAAACAACAAACTGCGAAATTTGCCCTTACGGCAGGGACGGTGATTGCATGAGTTCAGGTACGATATACCTGATCTCTTGTAATAATTGCGAAGACGAATATATTGGCGAAGCGGGCAGACCTTTGTGTATCCGTGTAAAAGAACACCTAGATGGCAAACGAAAACTAAGACGAAGCACCCCACTAGACACGCATAGGATACAAAAGCATAGTGGAGACGATTTTGAAGTAAAAGTCAATATCCTTGCACAGGAGTCTAAAAGACCAACGCGAAAACTCCTAGAGGCTTTTTGGATCAATGCCAAAAACCCTACAATGAATAGCAGTGATAAATGCCCGGAGGTCATACGCGACCTGATCCCGTACGTTCGCATCGATTTTTGATGTGGGATGGCGCAGTCGTCAACCACATGCGACTATAATCACCTGTTCCAATCTTCCTCATTGGAAGTCACGTAAAAAGCGGTGGGTTTTTCGAGAAGCTGTTGATCATGTAATTACCAAAGAGTCTTTCGTCTTTTTGTAAGTGTTATTGAAGCGTTTGGCCTAGTAGATTGTATATCAGCATACCCTTCCAGGCTCTGAAGAAGGCGATACTGCCGAAACGTCAGCTAGCGTTGTATTGTATTGTGTTTTCTTCATGGAAGTAAATGTATGCTGTTTAAAAACCTCGCGATTGCTGAACAAGAAAACGACACATTCATATTCCAATGCCGAGGTTAACAGAAAGTCGATCCTGGGAACTATTACAATGATTCTTGTATCTAAAGCAAACAGCACATAATATGGAAAAGAAGGCAAAACATGAAGTAACGAGGTTATGAGCTTTACAACAATTCTGTTTTAGACGTTTTACTGTTGATCTGTCCATCTGATCTGATCTGCAGTCCCGTCAACCATTCAGTTGCTCGAGGGGGCGCGCTAAATCTCCCATTGTACCCCACGCGTATAAAAGTGGCTCAGTAGGCCGTGCTCGCTCTAAGAACTCGTCGATCACCATACTTTTTTCTAGGCTTTTACTGAAGAACTCTGACCATTGGATCGGTTGTCTTCCTGCAGTACGTTTGACAACCCGAGGAATCCAGTCACTAACAGCTCTTGTCCATCGGTTTTCATTCATACGCACTAGGTCTCCGGCCCACTTTATCTTTGACTGTTTGGCGTTCAGAACGGCATCTTTTACTTTTGATCGTTGACGCAGGTCGTAGCTTTGGATCCCTTCCCTTATTCGCGTGATATGGGATACACCTAGCATCGTCCTTTCGACGGCGCGTTGAATAGCGGTGAGTGAACTTTCATCCTGCTAACGCAATGACCACGTTTTTGACGCATACGTAAAGGCACAAAGTACCGTTGAGTCGAAAACGCGGGCACGAAGTCGGGTGTTCTTTGTTCTCCTTGCTATATCCTCGATGCTCTTGAAGGCTCCACAAGCCGCTCGTTTTCTTCTGCTCAGCTCTGGAGCTAAGTCGTTCATCATATTGAATTCTTGACTTAGATAGACGTAACTGGAGCATTCGGAGATATTCATTCCGATGCGTGAGTAGGGTATACCTTACCAATACGCTACCCATGAGTACCGTCTTTGTGTTCAAATTTAGTCGAGGATTTAGATTAGTCGAGGACCAATTTTCATTCCTTCCGCTTATGGAAATATGAGAAAAATTTGTAGACGACAGAAGGAAAATTGGGACATGGTTTCCAATATCGTGGTGGTCACCCTTCTTGAATAGTAGAACGGTCTTACTGGTCTTCCTTTTAGTTGGGGCCTTGCATTCAGACAGATAACTTGTGATAAGTCGACCCAGTGTGTTTACGACGACTGGCGGAAAGCTCTTCAGATATTCAGATCGTATCCTGTCCGGGCTTGGTGATGCTCAATTTTTCACCGACGAAATAGAATGTCGGATTCCAGAATTGAAATTTGGTTGTGCGGTTTATCAACCGTCCCTTATTTGAAGTGAGAGGAGGAGATTGCTATGCATAAATACGCCTCGTAAATACAGGAAGTGTGTGCCGAGTCATCTTTTAATGTTTCACTAGTTTCTTAAATGTGGCGCGTTTTTACATATTGTGGAGATTCCAGCACTTTTTTCATGTCCTTACTTCTAACCATCACCCACAAATTTCTTTGTACTCGCACATGGGTTCCATACCAATTGAGGATTTTATCTTTCTCAAGAATGCCTTTGAGTGTTGGTCGAAGTGACTCTCCATAGAATCCCGAGATAAATGTGCTAGAGCCTGGTAAGTCTTTCACCAACTTCTTGACTCCGGAACGTTGACAGGTTTGATTGGCTCAGTATAGAATCGATCCAAAGTTGCACATCTCAGAACACTGCCCTACTCGCGCTGCCATGTTTCATTACCTTTGTTTTAGACGATGGCTTTTCCATATCGGCCACTTCACTTCCTGCCAAGCAGTCTCCTTTTAACTCTCTAAATAATTTTAGCTGAACTATTTTTTTTGCACTTAATTAGTAAGGGTCAGTGAGAGGTAGTATAATTGTTCTTGACTTGACAATTCTAGAACATGTTCTCTGCAGGGTCGCACCACTGGCATTAGCCAGCGGCGTCGTGCCGTTGATGTCTGTGGTGAATGCACTAGCAGCCTGCTCATTCTTTGGAATGCATATAAATACCATCACAGTCACATCTCCAGCACTTGCATTTGCTATAGGTGAGACTTCTTTTAATAGAACGTGTTTAAATTTGAATTAGTTTCAAAAGAAATGCAATCGTATCACTATTGATAATACTATCTTCTTTCGCCTTTTTCTTGATAAGCACACACGAGGTTTTTACTAGACTCTTTATTCACAAAAGTTAACGCTCCGGTAGATTTCGCCTTGTTAAGAGCCTGGAAAAGGCTCTTGTGGCGCAGTGGTCGGAGGCGCTCTTCAGCTCCATCCTTCCGGGGCAGATGTGAACTGGTGCCAGACTTGTCTGGGAGGACAGCAGCCTGGCTCGATACATTGGTAAGCTACCGCGAGTTATTGTAAAGGCTAAATATGCATCCAGTCTCCTCCAAACAATGATTAATGAAGTCGATTTCATGGCGCATCCCTCAGGGATTGATCACTACGCTGAGAGCTCTATGCTTTTAAGAGCCTGGAGAGGTGACCTAAACCGCAACTTAGTCAACTAAACGTCTCCATAGCCTTAACAGGCAATCCACGATGCCTAATTTTTGGTCTCATTAGGTACGAAGCAGCTTCATCGCACAATCACCGCTCTCTACGAGTCTCCCACCGAGCATTTCACACCGAGACCAACCGCACAGAGTTCATATGGACGAGTAATCCGCCTCTCTTTAATTAAAATATCGTTCTTAGATATTATGTAAGAACGCGATTGATTACAAGGCACTCCTACCTGATGTTCGTCTTTGGATTCCTAGAATTTTTATGAATTTCACATTAGCTTTGCCAACTGAAGTTCTACTTTGTTTCCAATGCAATTGAAATCTGGGGTTTGCGATTTTTCTGTTGTGGTTATGGAGGTGGTTCCTAAGTAGATTGTAAACAACGTGACCTTTATATGACCTGAAGAAGGTGAAATGCGCCGAAACGTCAGCCTTTGTTTACAAATACAAAATAGCAGCAACCTCGTGTGTGGTCGCCGTGAAAACAGCGAAACATGGACAAATGCCAAGGTTAATAAAAAGTCAGTCTCGCGAATTATTCCAATACACTTTTTTAAACTTACACGACCGAAATCAGATATTGCGCGGTTAGTAGCACTTCTTGCACTCATTTCTTCGCAACCGTCATCGGCGAACATTTTCGAACTTTTCGTTTGTGGGTTAGCTCACTTGCTGGCGATTTTTCTTTGCTTAATGATTGTCACTGAATACTGGTCGAGATGATTCTCCTTGGTAATCTGTCATAGACGTGCCAAGGCGTTGTCAGGTCTTCCTCAGAAGCAGCGGTAGCTTTTTGTGGACTAGAGGGAGCAAACTGATCCAAAACAAACCTGTTGCCAATTTCTCGACAACGGAGATATCGGGGTCTTGCTGGGCTCGGTTCAGTGTAGAATACCCGCTTTGCATGGACTGAGCTGCATCACTGCCAGCCCAGTCTTTCCCCGTCTTCTTAGTAATGTTACTTTAGCGAAATGAAACGCCTATATGGTCTATTGAGAAATCGTACGTGCTTTAGCACATTGCCTTCTTTATTGGTGTTCTATTCATTTGATAAGGTATTTTCTGGGGCCTCACTTTAATGCCATCTCAATTTCTTACTATACGTAGTAGAACGATTTTCGTAGGTTGTAGGTTTGCGGGTGTTGGCTGTGAATCTAAGCCTCGAAGACGATAGGAAGTTTTTCTTTCATTGTTTAAATTTCCTTAATAGTCTCTGTATGCACGGAGGAAGGGAAGGTCTGTGACAAGATTAAAATCAATACCGCAGGATACAAACCACATCTGGGACGAGAAACTCGCCATCTAATCCATTTTAATCAGAGGGAAACTATAAAAACTTTTTGTTTCGTATATACGGAAACAGAAGGTGGCGTGTGGCGCAGTGATTGAAGGCGCCCTGCAATACGCAAGGGATCGATTCCCGCACGCCTAGCTCACCAAGCCTTCCATCCTTCCGGGGTCGGCAAGTTGGTACCAGACTGGTCTGGGAGGATAGCAACACTGGCTCGATACATCGTTAAGCCACCGCGAGTCACTGTAAAAACCAGATATGCATTCAATCACCTCCAAGCGATGCTTGATAACACTGAATGCATGGCACGTCGCAATGGGATGGATCAGCGCTGAGAGCTTTATCCTCTTTTTATTATTTTGTATAAGAGAACGCTCCACGTGGCCTTGCAGCTATCCCGATTGAAGTCCTCAATGACAGAAATCTGGGAATAATAAAAGTAGCAATAGTAATAACAGTAATAATAACAACGACAATACTTACTTACCTGAATACTTGAACGGCCCGTCGTCACTAGTTGTGCAGGTCCCAGCATAGTCACCATTTTTCGGAGATTTGCTGGCTAAGCCATTGTGGTTTTCTGCAATCCCGAGGACAGCCTGGCCAAAATCTACTCCAGCTCGTCACCATAACAGGCAGTTGCAGCCCTTGTGAATCAAAGAAAGATTTGCCACCATGTGACTTTGATACCAGGACGGTGGTGGATCCTGGTATTAGGAATAACAATAACTGATAAATATTAATGAAACAGAAGACTGCGTAACACACTACCGAATCTGTCATTTCTGCTATATCTTTTCACTTCATTACTGATTATATGATATTCACTGTTTAAGGGATTGACGGCGTGCTGATGTTTTATAATGCATGGATCTCCGTTGACATGCACAATAACGTTAAGGACCATATGGCGGAGGTTCGTCTCTTTTCAGTTAACTATTATTGTTTCCAACATCTTGCTCCTCCAATGGTTTGTCACATTGCTATTGTCGTGTCAAGCTGATATGTATGTGCTGCAGTTTCAATATCATACGAAAGATTATTAAAGATGAGAGTTAGTTCAGTGTTTCCATCCTGTACCTCAAACTCCACTTAAGACAGCCAATGCCGGTAATCGCCGTCGTCTTCAGGCAATCGGATTTCAAGGACAAATCACCCTCCGATCCGAAGAGACCCCTGCGTATAGTAACCATCTAAGAAAAACTCTAGCTTCAGGACTCAAGCGAAGAGAAAACATTTGTTGTTAGGAGACTTTAAGGCCAGATTAGAGCTAGTGAAAGACTAGTGAAAGCGACTGCAGGTTCGAAAAATTTGAGATGACAGAAATCAGAATGGAAATCATGTTGCTCTTTATAGATCTTAATAGAAATTCATTTTTCAAGAGCAAGAATAAGCGCTGTTGAATACGGAATTGAGCTAACGGCAACATCTACTGCAAACATCCTCACACAAAGAGATAGTGTTACCTTGACAATTCCTTAGTACCACCATTCTAAACTCGATCAGGTGAATGCGTTCATTCTCAGTGATGAGACTCGATTAATACGCGAGCCGGAGGGAAAACTCGTGTTAACGCCCAAGAAGAATAGAGCATGTACTACATAGCAATAACATTCTGAATGGGAGTGTTTTCTAAATGATTGGCAGATCTAGGAAAATGCAACCGAGGACAACGAGCGTTTATCAAAGGAATTATTAGCTCTGCTTGACGTCTTCTACGTTCAGTTCACATCTTTGTTCTTAGGAGTTGCTCGATAAAGAAAGAAAATTAAGCTTGAACCTGTTGAAACAGAGCTGGCAAGGCGAGTAGAAGAGATTAACAAGAAGTTGTGGATAAGTGCTTGCAGAAGGAGCTGGTGAAAGGAATTAGAAAAGGACAAGCCTAAAATATGCCGTCGGGGTCTATACAAATATAGTGTTTTCCTACTTTCATGTATTAAGGAGTATATAGTACCACCTCATATCACACAGAAATGTTCCTTATCAAAATTTCTTGTGTATCTTCTTTCATATTTTGGAGAACGGCATGCTGATTTCAACAATACCTTTTCAAGCTTGTTTTCTCCTAAATTCAAGTTAAGACCAAGAGTATCAGAAGTGCAAGCAGTTCCAAAACCAAGTAACGCCACATCCGAATTTCTTCGAGCTGGAGCAGGAAGCTACGTGCACTTCCATGAATTGATATTACAGCTGTAAAATGTGTCACTGATCACTGGAAAACCACGCATTTAGTAACAGGATAATCAGTACCAATAAGAATAAGCGAAGAGATCTACGCAACTACCTCCTAAAAGAAGTCTACCTCCAGAAAGATCACCTCAACGTCATTCAACAAGCAACCGAAAAGACGATTCTACGAGTATCTCGTGTAATACAAGTAGGAGAGAGCATCTGAAGCTCCGACCGACGTCAGCGATCAGAAATCAAGGACGCTGTTCAATACGTCAAATTATGGAAGATGAGGTAAGACTCGTAATGCTTATGAACGATAACGGAAGAACAGGTTTCGTTGGTGGGTGGATTCCTTAAGATAGCAGCAGGTAGACCACCGACCCGATAGTAAGAAGTCTTCCCAAAAATTCTAGAGAAAAGACATAATGATTTTGAACAGTTCCTACAATGAGCACAACCTACTAGGTTAATCTTGCATGCGATAAGAAGAAATGGAAAATATATTGGCACTCGCAATAGTAAGCCATTCGACGATCAGTGGGATGACAAGTTAGAAAGATAAACAAGAGATTAATTTATCGGACATTCTAAAAAATTTGAAAAAAACTTTAGTAGGCATGCAAACACGATTCTAAAACAGATTCTGCGACGCACAGCACGCCCAAGCTATAGTCAGGAGACAGAGTTCGTCGGGAGTGCCGCCCATATCTTGCTGTAGTCTACTTGAACTACGAAGAGTGTAGAGTGGTGTTTAAAGTGATCCAATCCTACTAACCGTCGTCAAAGTTGGGTTCCAGATAAGAACTGTGCCAAATTCTTTTGTAATTCCCGTGGATAAATACGGCTTCAAAATCGATCTTTCTCATCCTCACAGAGAAAAGAGTTCCGCATTGCAGTGGGAAATAAAGTTGCTCAGCCTGGAAGAAAACTGCTTAATCTTTTATGGCAAATTTTGGTGCTTTTTGTTTTTTCTGTAGTACATATTCGACACCAAGCAACCCGACTACGACAAGACAACATGAGTACACGAAATTTATGAGGAACCGTTAGAATAGTGTAGAGCGATACTCGACAAATTGAAAGAGGTGGTTCTTTGACTATAGAGAGTGCTAGAGAGACTACTACAGAGTATCACACTCGTGCTTGGAAGGTTGGATGACTGTATAAAGCAACACAAAAGGACCAGCCGTAGACTACCATTCGAGTCGCTTAGTTTTATTACAAAAGCAATCGACCAAGTGAAAGATCCATCTTCACGTTTTTCTTACTACGGCCTTCGCATCCCTTTACTATGCAACAAAGACGTGGGTTAACATTTTAATTGCGTTAAGACTTCACCACACAAGCACTATATCACGTCAATAACCGCTTCAAGAATTCTGCGCACTACTAAAAGAGCGCTTGAACGATATCTTCTGAAATAAAGCTCGCACGCACAGCCTCTAGCCGGAGTGCGAAACTGTGGTTTTCAAAAGCTATCTAATCTTGGAAAATGCAAGTCGATAGCGAAACAGTGATGGGCAATCATACAATGAGAACAGCAAATGGAAGACGGGCGAAAGAAACTGTGGAGGCACTCTACTAGAATTCAGGTGGGTAAGCTGTACACGCACCTGCCGATGTTTTAAAGGTCACAGTATAAGATTCGCACCCGCTACCATGCTTGGATCAGACTACCACTTGAACAACGATTTTGAAGCAAGAAAACGAGTGAAAGATGTGTTGAGGTCCGCACAACTTGTAAAGACGGGCTTTCCGAGCACCTAAGTGACTACTTAGTTACTAGCAATCACTAGTCAACGGGATCGACCTAGAAAGCCCAAATCGGCAACGAACGCAGTTAAGCTGAGACTGTAGTAGAAATCACAATGTGATTGCCGATTGCGCTCAACGACAGAACTAGCTGAGAGACAAGCGAAACGAAGGACCCACATAGTGTGGCGGTGAACACGTTAGCCCCGCAAAGGGTATTAACGCGTTCGTTCCCCCACCGCAGACATTTGCGGTCCAGAGTTCTGCAAATATCTCAAAATCATTGTGGTTGTTTTACACCTAATACCGCTCCATAAAAAATTGTAACAGACAGTAAATAATAAGTTAACATTAAGTACTTGATCCTTTGTACGATGCCTCCTGAAATATGATCGCCACTTGCAACATCCAACCGGAATGCGCAGTCTGGACCTTTAAAATTTGTGCTTCCAAGATCTACAGAAAGTTTTAAGTGTTCTTCGAAAACGAGACATAAATGAGCCGTTCACCATTAAAAATTGTTAACGGCTGATAAATGATGATAAGAAGAGTGGAGTGGAATCCAAGACCATGCAAGAGCCTTTAATGGCAATAGCCACAAAATAGGTTGACAGATTTGTGCTCAAAACAAGCATTTGTATCCAACGCTGCGAGTACTTTTCGTTATCATCAATGACCGACACTTTATGTACATGTTCACGTTCGACATTGATATCAACCATGGATGACTGTTATTTCAGAAAAGAAAACGAGTAAACAAAGCGCTATGGTCCGTGGTATTTTAAAGAACAACCTTTTAAGTACTTAAATAGTAAATATCACTAAAACTTAAATAAAAAATAACTTAAATAATAATAAAACTTAAATAGTAAATATCACTTGGTATCTTGTTTAACTTGTAATGACGCTTATTATTATCATTGCAGATGTCATCTGTTGGTCAAACCTCATAGGCGATCATTGCTTCCTCACTGCGTGTTGACGTCAAACTCTATAAATTGACGTTCACTTTTGTAATTAAGAAACTTATACGAGGAAATGCACAGTTTAACGTTTGGGTGGCTTAATAGTCTTCACAAGTTGCTGAGACATTTGCAAAACTCTAAAACTGGGGAACGAACGCGCCATTACCCTTTCTGAGGCCAACGCTTTCACCACCAAACTATGCGGGTCTTTCGCTTCGCCTATCTCTCAGCTATTTCTATCGATCAGTGTCATCAGCAATCACCCGTCAACGGGAATGATCTGGGTAGCACACATTTGCATTGAAACAAGTTAAGCTGAGGCTGTAGTTGAAATTACAAGCCTTCTTTCATAAGGGAATAATGAGCGCCTGTGTTTCTACAGGTGTTCGCCGCAGTTGTTCCATCACTGACGATTGTCTCCGGGACTTCATTAGGGCTTCTCACCGGCATACTATTTCCCATCGAAGAATTCGCCAATTTTTCATGCTACCTGGGCGTCACTGTCCTATTCCTTTATATGAATCAGGTAACTTTGCCTTCTTACTGCATCTGAACAGCCTATGTGGATCAAGCGTAATCCAATGAATTCAGATATTTTTCTTCCCAGCCGTAATGGTATGGTGCTCTCCTGTTTCATCGCATCGCCCTTTAGTACAAGAAGTCCAGAAACTTCCTGAATCACCTGAGAAAAAAAAGATGGATATGTTCTTTGGTATGTGCATGTGGACTGTTTTCATATTTAGCCATTCAGCTTCTGAAAAAGTGGGTTCCGAAAAAGTTGCGGAGAAATCGATAATTTATTGAGCATTACCGAAATTATTTCAACTTCAGCACTGATTAGCAATAAAAAAGCATGCCTAAGTCGGTAGTGGTACCGCGCACCTCTTCTTTTGTGATTAGAAGTTAAATTTAAGCACTCTTCGATACACTTCGATTTATAAATATTATTCTCCTGCTTGCTCTTATCACCTGTCTTCCCATCATGGGCGAGCGGCTCTAGCGGGCGCCAAAAAATCTCCCATTTTTCCTTGTCGCGCGAAAAAGTATAACAGTGAGCTCTTTTCGCTCTGTGGACACCTTGCGTGCCAGATCTTTCATTTACGTAAAGAACTCTGACCATCGGGTCTGAGGTTTTTCTGCAAAATGTTTGATATCGCGAGGAATCCTGTCGCTAACGGCACTTGTCTTGCAGAGACCATGTTCTTGACGCATACGTTAATGTAGGAAAAATCGTGGAGTCAAAAAAGTGGGCAAAAACTCAGGTATCCTTTGTTCTCCTCACTATATCTTCGATGCTCTTGAAAGCTCCACACGTCGCTTGCTTCGTTCTGCTCAACTGTGGAGCTAAGTAGTTCATAATGTTGGCTTTCCGAGGTAGATAGATGTAGCTGGAGCATTTAGAGCAATTCATTCTGTCGAAAGGGCGTGCAGAATTAATCCGTCCTTTATGAGCATCGTTTTTGTGAGGTTTAATCTAAGACCAATTTTCTAGAAGCCTTATCAAAGTCGGGTAGAATTTGTTCTTCTTGGATATCTCAGTGTAATAAGAATGTGTCATCAGAAAGGAAAGATTTTTTGATTTCCGACCGTCCATTAACTTCCACAGTGTCTATCTCCATTGTTGGCGTGATATTTTGAAAGGCGTCAGTGAATAATTTTGGAGATAGTATTGCCCTGCATGGCTGCTTTTTTACCTCGATATTAATATCGTTTAATAATGACGATATTTTGGTTTTGAAACTTTTATACGGCTCACAAAGAATCTTTGTGTACTGAAGAAGGACGTCCTGGCTGTCCACGGTTTTCATTGCTGCTTCTCTCTCAACTGAATCAAAAGCTTTGCTTAAATAGATGGAAGTGAGGTAAAGCGATCCCTTGTACTTTTGCAACGCTTCAATGAGTCTCGCTACCGTGTGGATGTGGCGTGCCGTACTAACGGAATCTTTCTCGAAACCTGCTTGCGCAAATGGCTGTTCTTTATCCAGTGTTTTTTTCACTCCTGTTAAGATGAATCGAGTGAAGAGTATGTAGACGGCAAGCAGCGAGTAGGGTTGGTAATAGTTGCGATGTCATGGAGGTCACGCTTTTTGAACAATAACAGTTTTGCTGTTCTTCCGCTTCAGGAATCTTTCATCCTGACAGGTAACAGTTGAAGAACAGGGAAAGTGTGTATGAGGACTGGGGAAGGTTCTTCATTTGTTCAGAGTCCTGCACGGACTAGGCGCTGTTCCATTCTTTACCCACAAAACTGAGTGTCGGATTTCGTAGACGGGAAACAGTGGGACGCTACATCCCTCCTCCTTTATTCCTTATGAAAGCAAGGGGACGTATCTGTTGAAGGGATCTGAGTAGTAAATGTCAATGATTTTCTCCATTGCCTTTCTAGCTGTCTGGGCATCGTAGTGCAATTATCTAGGTGCTGCAGTTGGTGAAGTTTTTTGTGGGCTTTTCCCATCCTCTGCCGCTTCGACCGTAACTACTGTCTTTTTTTAAGGATTTGCCTTGTGTTTTGCAGGCTTGGACGTTAAACGTCTGTTTTCTATAGCTTGCGCGATTCCGCATTGGCATATTAGTTCAACCGTTTCTGGAGACTGACGCTCCATTGTGACGTACAGGCTCACAGCTTCAATAGCTGTGACGTGAGGATGTTGAATGACCCGATGGTATTCCTCCTAGATGTTATCAACAATGGTATTTTCTTAAGACCAACTAATGATCTGCGTAATTCTAGTTTTGACGGTTTTGGGACTTCGTTCTTTAAATTTATTAGGGACCCCCACTTCCACTGTTGAGGAGGGGCTTTTGTAATAGCTAATTCTCATGAGTGGGCTTCATCATCATGATAAACTCAGGCATCCGTTCACACTGTTCGTTCCATTCTAGCACGTGGTTCCCAATGTAACGTGTTTCAGACCTTCTTCTGAATCCAATCTTTGGAAAGAGGTCTCAGTGGTACAGTGGGTAGCACGAAAATCTCTGCGAAGAGTAATCGCATGTTCGAATATGGCCTGGAGTTCATGCTTTGAAAATACCTCAGGTCATACTGGTTGTATTCCAGAAGTTTAATGATAGCCTTAATCAATGCATGCTCTTTCCTGTACAACATCTCCAGTTCCACATGGGGCGATTCGACTTCGTTCCCGTCGTAATTTATTGTCGGTATACAGATGGTAAAGATTGCGAAATACGTATTGATCCTCAGCTTTTCAACTGTAACTCTTTGATTAGGATTTTTAATTGTTTGAATGAATTGTAGTTGATGGCCAAACTCATGCTGACGTGTGAATCAATGCGGCCGACCTCTCTATTATTGTATTTTCCGAGGAACAGTTCTTTTTCGGTGTCAGACTGCACTGAATGGATGTGCTCTACTCTTCTCAGGCTAACCGATAACATCTCACTATTGAGTACTCAGATGCAAATGAGCGGGCAGTGTAGGTACAGATTGTTTTCTTAATCCTTCGAGACTTAGGCAGATGGAATGACCATGAGGTTTTAGCAGCTTTTCCGGACTCGTCTTATCCAAAGTTGCCGCATCGTGGAGACTTTCGAGGGCATGGGAATGAGACTCACTTGTCTTATTGTGCTTAGCGTTCGATACCTAGCTTGATGAGTTCTGAACGTGGGAGCTAGGTATACTCACGGGTAGCTTGCCAGACTCTCCCAGAATGGACATGGGGCTTATTTGTTGGAGGCGACTCCTAACCGCCTCCCATATACTTCCCGGTCACTTGATTGCAGGGTTTTGGCCGAATCGACTCGTAGAATACAATCCGCATAAGCGAGAACGCACTCACGCACGCATGCACGAATACGGTTCGCAAATACAGAAAGTATGTGCTAAATCGGCGCAACAGAAACAAGGAGTCCATCCCCTAGATCTACCTGCGTCTCAGAGAAACAAAGATCGCTTTTGGTTCGCGATTAACCCCCTATCCACCATCTGAGGTCGCACTGCCAAGTTGTCTCGCCACCAACGGACATGAGATACCTCTATGAAGGAGATCACTTTTTAAATATTATTACACATTAGAAACAGAAGTTGAAATAGGACGTAATTTTTTAGAGGTGATATCTGAAACATCACAATATAACTAAATACAACCGATTTTGGGATTCTATTTGAAAACTTTAAGATAGGAAAGATGATTGAGTTCTTCAGGTCGATATGCACATTTTCTTTCAAATTCGACTTGGCCGAAAATCTTTATCACATCGCTGTTATGTCTATGTCTCGTCCTTACCACGTATCTGGGATTCGCCGAGGTATGAGCAACGTTGATCGACTTTTGAACCATTGCAATATTCCGGAAATATGGGCTTACAGGTGAAAGCGAACATCGATTATCGTGATTTTCTTCCTGCAGACTCACCGAGCAACAGAGGTGTTCGTTTTATGAACGATATCGTAAGTTTATGCATTATTTTTGACATGTTCTGAAAAGTCGGCGATCTATGATAGTAATAGCTCGTAGACCCGGTAGTGAAGAACGGTATTCCGCATAGTTACGTTGAAAATCACGATACAGCAACATCTGCTTCAGGTGTGGCCGGAGTTTTTCAATATTATATTTTTTATCGAGAAACCACCACACTTCGATGATCCATCGTCATATCAACAATTTAGAGTAGGTCGATCTTTTAAAGGGAATTGTTTTGGAGATTTCACCAAGTATTCTCGTGAATTTTAAGAAAATGATATCTGAGATCGAATCGTTGCCGGGTAACATTAAAAACTCGGGTATGATGTGGATTAACGATTACGAACGACACACAGGGATGATTGGAAATGAGACAGGTTCATTTATTTTTAAGAAAATTAATTTTCAAAGTACGTTAGAAAAATTGATAAATGTGCTGACGCTTAATTGAATTCCTGGTTGCCCATTTTCTTCGTCATCTCTTCCATAGTGGTGGCTTGTTTCAATTATAGCGGTGAAGTCTGCGAGGTCCACTTATCCACAAAACCGTATCCGCCTTTAGTTTCGAGCACTTCTTGTCTTGTATGTTTCCCTATTTTTTCCGGTAGATTATTCGAACGCCTTCAATTCTATTTTATTGTTTGGTTTGTTTAGTTGTAACCGAGTTCTCTCCTTCTCTTCACAAAAGCCTTTTCTTTATCTAAACTCCGTTTGGAGGGGCGCGTGTTGCACAGTGGTTAGAGGAGCTCGACAACAGTTGTAAAGGGCAGTAACTAAAGAGTGAACATTCTAACCAATCTTTTTAGCTGAGTATTTATGGGGTGCTAGCTCTATAAATTAAGATGTAGTTGGTTGAAGTGTGGTCCTTGCAATTGAGCAATTCCCCTTTGCCAGTGATAATTTCCTTTCCTTTACTAAAGGACTACTTTACTACTTTCATTAAAAGAAACATGCGATGAAGGGAATCCCATCATCTCCTCTCATTGAAGTAGTCATACTCTACATGAGCGACGTGTGGTTAAACTGGTTTCAGAGATGGACTCTTGTCTCTGACATCGTGAAATGGCATGTATATTTTTATGTACGAAAGAATTTCTAGCATTTTAATAAAACGAAGGCATGCTTGCATACTTATGTTTGCTAATAGATGGATTGCATTCTCCATGTTGATTCGGCGAAAGTATGTACACCAATAACTAGAATATACACAGCATGTGATTCGATATCTCCACCTCTAAGCAAACTCACCCTATAATTGGGAAGACTAAACTGGTTACCAATAGGCAAACCCATCCCACACGCTAGTTCTCGACAAGGTACTTGTGGATTTTTACCGTCAAAATGAGAAAAGGCAAACAGTATCGTTATGACCAAGACTGTCCACAGTAACTGAAGATAAGCACTCCTCAACACTTTGGACACGAGATTGTTCCAATAAAGAAGAAAATCATATAACAGTGTTTCAAATATTTTAACATTTATTCGTCGCCAACTTTTTCATTACAACGTATTATGTGAAAGAGAACCACACTGTTGCTGAGATGTGAACAAAATTCAGAACCTCACTTGCCTTTCGAACTAGCCATTAAGCTTTCCTGGGGCACACGTAATATCCACTAAATCAATGAGATTCTTGCTTTACCTTTCTCTCAGCCAGTTTTTTACCTTAACGGTGCTATCACCTGTCAGTCGTTAATGGGATCGATTTGAGAAATGGACACAAATCGGCGTTAAATCCAGTTAAGCCGAAGCTTCAGTCGAAGTGGCTGTATTTTACATAATATTTGTTTATTAAAAGAAAAGTAAACAGTAAACAAAGGTGAAAACATTTAGTCTCAACTTCAGCCTCCGCTTAACTCTGTTCAATGCCGATTTGTGCTCACTTGATCGATCCCGTTGGCCGGTGATTGCTGGTGGCGCCGTTAGGGTAAAATGCTGGTTAAAATAAAGAGAAAGCAAGGGCCTCAGTTGGTGCAGTGGATAATACATGCGCCGCCGAAAAGGGCAATCGCCGATTCGAAGCGCATCTGAGGTTCCGAGCTTCTCATATTTCAGCATCATTGTGGTGTATTAAATATTTTCACTAAACGAAGCCGTTCATTCTGCTGAAGTTCTAGACAGGACGACGCCATCTCGTTTTCTTGTTCTTTCCTTAAAAGGAAGAGAAACCAAAACATTCGGGAAATGAATTTCAAAATCACCGCATGTTGGAATTCGCCAATCACTGGTCGGCAACTTTGGTGCTTCAAGTATTTGTTGCGATGAACACGTTAACGACAATCAGTGGACAAGAACCGTTAGCGATTAGGTTCCACCAACTATCAAACACACCAGTGAGGAAGCGAACCCGATAAAAACTAGCGAGTTACCTGAATTAGCAGCAACCATTGTGTTCATCTTGCGTTCGACATGGAGAAATGACAATTGTGCTGGAGATTGCTCGACGCATTTGGCAATCACTAGGACGGACGGTGAATGCACGGAATGCTGCGTGTATGAAGAAATATTTGTATTCTCTTTGTGATCTTTTTTTCCAAAGCACCCGATTTTGCATTACTCATTTGCAGTCATTTCTATTTTTACATGGAATTCGACAACGAATTTGTAATTGCTTCTGTTTATGCCAATCAGTAGAAGCCTAATTCGTTTCGTGTGTCGGTGACTAGAAGTTGATTATATGGCAGTTATAACAGTTATCATATACGCATATTTTCTTACCAACTACCCTTATTAAGCCGACCCGAGGTTGGTATAAGTTGTCGTTATTGTTGTTGTTGCTATGGTTCGATGGGTGACATATGTTGCGTGTGGGGACCATCTGTGGATTCACGTGGGCCGACCACTCGCAGCAACAGGGCTCTGAAAAAGGCGAAGTCGCCGAAACGTCTGCCATCGAACCACAATAACAGCAACAAGAACAATAACTTATACCAATCTCGCGTCGGCTCAACAACGACGATTAGTAAAATATGTATACAGATATAACGCAAAAGATCGACTTTCTATAAACTTCGGCGTAATACTCGATGTTTCTATATATATGATTTTACGATGTGCTCTTTTTTACGCGAGGATGGTATAGACATTCTCACTGTTGTTGTTGCTGTCGTTGTTCAATGGCTGACTTTTCGGCGACGTCGTCTCTCTGAGAGGCCTGTCGTTGGACGACCAGCCCTCGTGAACAATACACGGGTGATCCGACCTCACAGCTCTGATGAAGGCGACGTCGCCGAAACGTCAGCCATTGAACAACGACAACAATAACAGTGAGCACGCCTATACCATCCTCGTGGTATCGATATGATCGAGATTCGCGAAATACATGACAGGATTTAGTTTCAGTGAATATCACGAATTCCTACACCTTGCGATATTTGAGTATTATAAGAGATTTGCTAGAAAAACTTTGTGAAATGTTTTGGAAGTCCTTCCTGAATACACACTGACTAGAACATGAAAGATATTAACTATGCATATTAAGTATAGAAAAACTCGTTCTCGAATGCACTTTTTGAGGAGCTAATTTCAGTTTTAAATATGACGCAATTCGAGGATTTCATCACACACCATGTCTACAAGGCTTGGAATTCTGGTGTGCGCTATCGCCTTGACGGGTATGATAATAATAATTTTTCAATTTCTCTTCTGCCTCATGATGTTTGCATACACAGAGAGAGATTTGAAGTTTTCAGAAACCATTCCGTCATAACAAGTATGCTGTACTTCGGTGCCTTCGAAGGGGCTCGTAGTATGATGGACAAAGCGGTGCTGTTGTCACATTGTCGGCAGGTCAGTGGCATTTCTTCAAATTAATTTGTTATTTCTTATAACAACGACTTTTTAACGTCATCTCAATTGTTCTGTGGTTTCAAACCTTGCAAGAAAGCGTTTGACTGATTTTCTCTAACTTTCTATCAGATCGTCGCCAAATATCCTGAATTCGATACCGTTCCTTTCGACACAGAAGTCGGTATGGTTGACGTGATTCTACAAATCCCATATGTCACTTTCTGGTTAGTTTAGGATTTAGATTATTGGAAATATGGCCTCAGCTTTCGTTTGTGGTTTGTGAGATTTTTTTCTACAGCATTCCTCTACTCGTTATCACCATTTATTCTGTGGTATCACTGGTTCTAATTGGGAATCTAGCTGTCTCTCTTGTCGCTATTGTTTCCACAGCATCAATTTACTTAGGTAGAAAACGCAAGTTTCTCATTTATTCAAAAAACTAAAATTAATCACTCATGTTTCTATCAAAAAGGTGCACAATTACAGAAACATATTGCATCTCTTCACTGATGGGCATGGTGCTTAATCCCTTTTCGACTGCATTTCTCCTTATTGTGGCAGCCTCTGCTTCAACACACGGCAGTCACATTTGCTACACATTCCAAAAAGTATTTAAAATGAATTTTGCCATTATTATCCATCAACTAGTTTCTGTTTCGAAAGATCCTTTTATAACTTTACTTCTGGAATGAATGATTGAGGAAAATGCACGCTTTTCATAGGCGCCCTTCGAGAGTCACTCCGCCAACGGCAAAGAACATCGGTTGGCCAAGACGTTCAAGATAACACTGATTCCAGTTGCAATGGTAAGCAATCTAGGTGATCTCAAATATGCACATTTTACAGGAGAAAATGTTGCATCTTTTTTTGAGTGATGGAGAGCATTTAATGCTTCGGATCTATCCCTGTTCCTTCTCAATGGAAAGCAAGCGTGACCGTTTTTCATTTCGTTTGCCACACGACGGAAAAGACAAAACGTTGGATGAAATGCTATTTTGGGAATAAGTAGGGTTTACCATCCAATACGATAGACGCTATCTGCATAATTGTGAAGCTGATTGATGCATCGCGAAATATAACTCGTATGAAATGCTGAGATATTTGCAAAACTCCGGACTGCAGGTGTATGCAGTGGCGAACGAACACGCGCTTTTGTCCTTACTGGGGAGCAGCGCACTTCACCACCACACCATCCGGGTCGTTCGTTTTGCCTGTCTCTCAACTAGTTTTATCGATCTTTTTGCCATCAGCAATCACCCGTCAACGGGATTGATCTGGGGAGCCCAAATCGGCATTGACTTTAACTTTAACTTAACATAACTTTAACTTTTTAAACACTTTAACACTTTAACACTTAACAACTTTAACACGACATAACTTTAAAGGCTCCAGGAATGTATGTCCAGGTCTAAAGATAATATGATAAGCGATTTAGTTTCGAAGTTGAGAAAGAGGAGACGGGTGACGTAGGGTACATGAAAGAGCACCGTGCTTTTAGTGAAGAGAATGAAGAACAAAAGGCCCGCTCTCACCTGCTTTCATTGCGAGTGAGTATAGCGTAGTTAATATAGCATTCATTTAAAGTAGCCTACGTTTTGGCAGATTTCTCCTTTTTCAGAACACGGAAATGTTGACTTGACTGCAATCCATTTATTCAATTGCTGCAATAACGCCAGCAGAAAAACTACGAAATCTAAGTTTCAGTCGGTAGAAGCCTCATTGAGTCTTCCACGTGGAAAATAAATGCACAGTTAAAATAACTGGATAATAATAATATGCCTCTTTCACATTAAAATACCATTCTAGACATTGAGCGAATTTACTCGCGATAACGAAGCATTCTTTTTTGTTTTCCAATTTAGAATTATTGAAATTTATCCGGAATGCTTCGAGGGTTTCGCGCGCTAATGTTTCATACACCTGCGCGAGGAATTAGCGTGAAAGAGGGATGCAGCTCATCCATCTGTACTCTGTGCGTTTGCTCTCAACGTGGAATACTGAGTGGAAAACACGTAGCAAACGATGAGCGTGCCGCATTGTTTCCAATGTGAGAACTGGAATTTAGTTTTTAAGGTTTTCTGTTAAGATCACGGAAGTACTTGGCTTTTTTACAGAAAACTTGAACCTTTCCAAGCGCTGAAGAAAGCGAAATCTGCCAAAACGTCTTCTACTGTAAATAAATAGTAGAAGAACGTTATTTGTAGTCATATCGGAAACAAAGAATTTGATCCGGCTATAAGCAGGAAAAGAACTCTCATCGTCCATGGAAAATGAAACAAATCATGTACGACGAAGATATACTCAATAAAATCCACTTTTCATATGACTAGCAAATAAAGCATGATCCGATTAAGGACTACAAGCCGCCTTTCGAAGTGCTTAAAACTTACACCGAACTCGCCTCAATTCCTCAAACAAGAAGTTCAGATATCATATCCATGGGCGCTAAGAAGTTGTTCAGAAACAGACGAAACTTAAGGTTAATTCTACTACCAAACACCATTGCGCTGGCAATGAATGCATATTTACCGAAGGAGTTACATCGGTGCTGAGAGGAAAGGCTGTTGAAATCATCCCAAAAACGAACAATCCTAGAGAGATGCTGTCAAAGCCCGTTTTGTTCTAAAAGAGTGGCATCTCTATCACCCCCGATCAGCAAAAATGTGGCCGCTACCTTCGGTGTGTGCAGCAATAATATTGAATTCCTATTGGACTGTATCAATCCTTTTGTTTCACAATATTCACTTTGGTCTTCGAAATTCCTGTTGAAGACAAGCCATCCGGGTCACTACTCTCTGAAGTTTGAGCTGCAATAGAAGGCATGAAAAAAGGCACAAGTCCAGGTTTTATTTCACTGCAGCTACAGTTTAAGTAGGAGCTATAAACTGCATGTGTTTCTCGCACCCCATATGGCATCCGATCTAGAGGCAAAAATAGGGCAACAATAAGGAATGTCATAAACGGTTATCCTGTTTAAGAATGGTGACCGAAAGAATTTTCATAAATGTCCAATATGATTCCTGGATGTACTGTACAAGCTATTCGCCAAGATTATCTTAGATTATCCTGTCGCTCGCATCAAGCATTTAGGATGGGATACAAGCAGTTGAGCAAGAAAGACCTAGAGAGGACACTGCATAGACCACGCTTAAACCGTGTTCAGGTTCATTGTAGTTTTCTCGGCAGTACCATTGGCCCGTAGTCCTGACTTTTTCGACTACGGAAATCGTTTGACAGCGTTGAAACGAATGCAATCCTATCAGCGCTCTTGGAGCAGAGAGTTGATCTATCCTACATAGGAACTCTATCTGACTTTGACCGGAACTACCCTATGAAATATAACTTTTCCACCATTCCTATACGAGAAGAGACTTAGCAAATGTGATACAAGCTCGATTCTCGAAGTTGAAAAAAGTCAAAACCAACAAAAAAAGAAACAACGCAAAAGAGAAGAAGAAAACTCCCAACAACTCTTATTCACTTTCTTATTTATGTGACCTAACTTTATATATTCTGAGGATCCTAGCACTACCAATATACCGTCACCGGAAGGATGAGAGGCTCTGTCTGCTTGGTAGGTTCTTGTAATAACAACAGTACGGGTATTATTTTGCGATGTTTCCAAAGATGGCGATTCCTTTGCTTCTTTTAGACGTTGTAGACAAAATCGAACAACAACACTCTTCTTTAACTATCCAGGAAGATAGTTTCCAGATTTTGAATGTCCATATCACTAATTTAGTATTAGTGCTGAACTACTACAGTGCCACCATAATGATGCCCAGATACCAGCAAAACTCGGAGCCACGGGTGCTTGTTGGTACCTCAGTATTATTGTGGTTGTATTTCACATAGTACTATAACACCGTTTTGCATTTGCAGAGTAGACTGTGCAGTTTTCTGCCGTTTGTCCCGATGATCTTCACAAACGTGGCCGTTTTCCGATGGTTGGCTGTTATCAATTTATGCTGTGTATTGATTGGAACCATTTACGCGCTCTTCCTCATTCCTCTAATACTCTCATGGATTCCTGTGTCGTTGGCTGGTCGGGAATTCTTTTGCGCTGCTAAAAAAACCGACAATTTAGCGCTGAAAAATTTTAGCAGCTAATGAAAGTGTCGAGAAGCTGGTCCATGTATCTCTGTGTTTTTCAAAGAAAATACTTTTGCCATATATTCCGATGGTTGTGAAATTGTTATTGAAATGAACTATTATTTAAAAGTTTTTCCAAACGAAAACATTGTGATGTGAAAATCTTACACTTTGATTGAAGATACCCTCAGGACAACTGTAGCGTACAACAATGACGACCAAAGGTGCTAATTCACGACAAATTTTCTTAACGGTAAACAAAAGGGTAGGAAACGAATTTTTAACCTGCGAAGCCCCAACTTAACGCTGAATTGCTTCTTTAAACTTAAAGACTGTATGAACTCAGTGTTTTTATCTTCGCAAATGCGTCTGATATCAGTTTACAGTTTACCGACCCCGGAAGGATAGAGTGCTTGGTTTCTACTGTTATTCCATTAGACCAAAGAAATTGTTGTATTATACACTGAAAAGTACTTTAAAGCCACCACACTTCTTTGGTCTTATATGCTCTACTGCTTGATAGTTTTCTGCAATATATGGGCATTAATCCCTTAACATCTGAGACGCTCTGGGTGAGAGCCAAGGAATAAAAACTACAATTTTACAGTACTAAACTTTGCTTTAACTAATAACTACTTTAATTTATTCTAACTTTAAACCAGCACTTTGAAATATCACCGGCTACTCTACGTCGTCTGTTAGTTCGTAACCGCCTCTATGACCGTTTATATGAAACAACAAATTGCGTAATTTGCCCTTACGGCAGGGACGGTGGTTGGATGAGTTCAGGTACGATATACCTGATCTCTTGTAATAATTGCGGAGATGAATATATTGGCGAAGCGGGCAGACCTTTGTGTACCCGTATAAAAGAACACCTAGATGGCATGCGAAAACTAAGACGAAGCACTTCACTAGGCACGCATAGGATACAAAAGCACAGCGGAGACGATTTCGAAGTGAAAGTCAATATCCATGCACAGGAGTCCAAAACACCAGCGCGAAAACTCCTTGAGGCTTTTTGGATCAATGCCAAAAACCCTACAATGAATAGCAGTGATAAATGCCCGGAAGTCATACGCGACCTGATCCCGTACGTTCGCATCGATTTTTGATGTGGGATGGTGCAGTCGTCAACCGCATGCGACTATAATCAGTTGTTCTAAACTCCCTCATTGGAAGTCACGAAAAAGCGGTGAGTTTTTTCGAGTTGTTGATCGTGTAATTACCGAAGAGTTTTCGTCTTTTTGTAAGTGTTACTGAAGCGTTTTGGCCTAGTAGATTGTATATCAGCATACCCTTCCAGGCTCTGAAGAAGGCGATACTGCTGAAACGTCAGCTAGCGTTGTATTGTATTGTGTTTCTCTCGCGTAAACTTGGACCTTGGATATTTAATCCGTTTGTAACAACAATGACGCAATGATAGCAATATGACAATATCGTAACAGTAGAGCGATGAGGCGATAAATATTGTCAATAAATGTGGATAAGGTGATGAGTAAGAAATTATCTTAAGATAACATTATAGTAATATGATACTACAATTTTTTAGTTTGATATACCATAGTCCATTGAAGTAGTATGAGGAAGAGGTTCCACACAGAACACAATATGGCCAAGAAATATAGGGAGATAATGTTGGCACGGTGAAAAAGAAGATCAAACGATTGGTATCTAGAGTGGCTTCTGTAACAGACTGAGAAGCTAATATGAAGAATACTTTCAAATACAATACATCAATACGGGTGCAATCAGGTTAATTTTGTAGGAGAGCCCAGCATTTGGAATATATAATGTTAGCTGATGCGAGAAGGTGCAGACTAGTTAGTATTCAAGTCAATAGAAATGTGAACGTAAAAACAAACTACAGGGCGTTTCTCAACCACTTTTTTCCAAGTGAGCCATTGCAGAAG